AGTCATTTTCGAATGTCGAGCAGTTGGGCTTGCGACTTGTCGACATTCCCGTTGTCCTGCGCTCTTGTCCCTTGCTGTGCGGCCTCAGCTCCCGTCGATCTGCCAGCCTAGCTACAGCCCGACCGCCAGCTCCTGGCGCCACCAGACGGCAGATGCTGGGATCTCAACTCAAATTGCATCATTGCTGCATCGTTTAATTCACTTGCTGAACTGACATGAATTCTGATTGCTTTGCTTTGAATTGCCTTCCATCAATGCATGATCACACATGTGCAGGACATTGTCATCTTTGGTAAGCCCAAGCACTACAATTGCACCAGCGGTCCAGGGCTCTCGCGCTGACGATGGCTGTCTCTCCATTTCCCTTGTGGCTTGCGGTCCATCTGTCATCAGATGTTCGGGAAGTTGCTGACTACGCTGCTGGACACATTCCCAATGCGCTTCATCTGCCCTTGACTGTTTTTGAAGCCTCACTCGCCATGGATCAAGGTCAGTCCGAGTTGGAATATTCTCTAGTACCGAGGGCACGATATTGAGCATCATCCTGTCACTCTCATGCGATAACGCGTCTTGCAGACGTCTTTGCGAGGACCTATCGATTCTCGAAACCCGCTCCAGAACAAAAAGTCGTTCTGTACTGTCGCTCGGGCAGAAGGAGTGGACTTGCTGCTGATATTGCAAGAGGCTGTGGCTACAAGCGGTGCGTATTCCGTTGACCACCCTCGACCGAGTGTACAGTTTTCTAGGCACGGAATTCAATCAAGCTGATTGTCGTGGCCTCGCTTTGCACGTCAAAACAGCGTTCGAGAATACAAAGGCAGCTGGAATGAGTGGTCAGCTAAAATGGCTGAGCAGGGTGATGACGCTGCTGCTCAGACCAAGCAAACCAGTCAGGCTAATTGAGCGAGACGGTGGATCGAAGACTTTGTGATTGACTCCACAAGAGGACGAAGTGCTCGGACTCTTGCTGTATTGGTCAATTATTTTCTGTCAAAAAGTAATTCCTCTCGTAGCATGCTTACTTTTGGAAATCATGTCAAAAGTCAGAAGCCACGTGCGCGTGTCGCTCCGCTCGCCTTATCTTGCTGTCTCGGCCGAAGCGCTCGAGCCTCTGCCGTCTATTGGGCACGAACGACGCTCGACTGCCAGCTACGCGTATCGATACGCTCGTTCTCAGCACATCCAACATGTCACAGCCCTACAAAATCGTTTCGCATCCCGTCGTCAGGCATAAAGTGACAAAGTTGAGAGACGCGCGCACGTCGCCAGCAGACTTTCGACGACTAGTCAAGGACCTCACGACGATCATTGGTCTAGAAGCCAGTCAGAACCTGGAAACGGTCGAAGTGTCTCAGGTGAGCTCTCTCCGGAACGTTGGACAGCCGACAAGCCGCCGAATGTTTGGTGACTCGGACTGCAATCTGGCGGCGCACCACATGTCATCCCTGGCAGTGTGAAGCAACGTTTAAGAAACATATCGCGCCACAAACATCTTGTATTCCTGAATCACTGACGACTCCGGCAGCTTCAATCACCTGTTGCACCTTTCACAGGTCATGAACTCTGTCACAGCATTGGATTGTCGCCCATCTTGCGGGCCGGTATCGGCATGACTGAACGCAAGTCTCATTGTCACTCTCTCGAGCTTCTCACGTAGATAATGGATGTCGTCGCGATGAATCTTGTGTGCTAAAATCACGCTAGACAACCGCCACTGACACGTCGGCCCTCTGAACCCTGCAGCAATGCTCAACTTGTTCCCTGAAGCGTCTGTATTCTATCTGGGCCTATATCGAGAGAAAGTGTCTCTGCAGCCCGTCGAATACTATCAAAAACTTCCACAACATCCGACAGTCGACACTTTGTTCATCCTAGATCCATTAGTGGCCACAGGTGGAACGGCAATTGCGGCAGTGACAATGCTATTGGATTGGGGTCTGAAAATTGAGAATATCAAACTCTTGGTTTTGCTGGGATCGAGACCTGGTTTGGACAAGGTGGCAAGAGAGTGTCCGGGGTTGGAGATTGTCGTGGGGGCTGTGGACGAGACCGTGAGGCTCCGCTTCAGAATCGAGCTCAAACTCATCTTCATTCCTGATCAGACGCTGATATCCTTCTGGTTGCTTGCTTGATTGGATGTTTGCAGCTGTCGGAGCAAGGCCTTGTGCTGCCTGGGCTTGGCGACGCTGGCGACAGGCAATTTCCCGATGGCACTAACTGAATACACAGAATAGTCGTTGACGTGATAGTGTCTATGCACTCAATACCTGGGCAATGCAATGGGGATGCTCTCTGTCCACTCGACCTCGGATTACCGTGCTTAAATCAACCCAATCGACAGAGAGCGCTTGCACCCTCTTGTCCTTCATCATTACAAAATGACAGTGCTACAGCTGTACTCAGTCCTGCGTGATCCCGAGTGGTGGCGAGTTGCTACTATGATAGATCCGGAGCTCGCTTTGAATTTGAGCTCGAGTGGTTGCTGGCGCCGAGGGCATTCGACAACTTGTTTCACGTGGCGCGACCGCAACCAGAACGCGGAAATACGAGATCTCGGCAGGCATTCGGTCCCTTTGCCAGTCTGAGTCGATCGAGAGCGTGTGCCACAGCGCGCAACGAATCTGAGACGCCTCGGTACCCAACTCGGTTCCCGCTTGCCAAAAAGTCGCGACGATCGTCTGCTAATGCAACTTGGCATGGCGGAGGCTGACTCACGTGGCAACTATAAAAGGGAGAGAAGGAGAAGAGTTCGGTATCGCTTGAGCTCGGCTCGAGGTCCTCTGTCGCGTTTCTTCCTTTCTCTCCACGCCTCGAAGTTGTGTGAGCGTGTTGAACGATGCAGCTCAAGGCATGGCTCGCCTTTGCCATGGCATCACATACCTTGGCCGCGACTACAACGACAACTTACAAGCCACCAACGTCCTCTCAATCATCCCTCGCGCGCGCGGACTGGTCCAGCATCGTTCGTGCCGTTCTCGCGCTTCCCGCTTTTTTGTCTCAGGTGCTGAAGCTTCGTGTTCTTGCAGTTATCGCGTAACTCGACAGCCTGCAGATGGTCATGCAAGTCATATTTGCCAAAGTACACCGTCACAGCATCGCCAACCACCAAGACAACCACGGTGTACACGACCGTCGCTGGACCATCGAGAGTTGTAACGGAAGCCGTCATTGTGCCCGGAACAGCTTTCACCAATACAATGATCACGTCCACTATCGTTGCCACGAGAAGCATGTACTCGCCTACGGTCACAGTCACAACAACACGCACTGAAACAGTCAAGGTAAATTCATGCTTCTGACTCGCGGCTCAGTCGCTGCCGGCGAAGGCTCTTACTGAAATCGTAATGTTCATAGTGGTTTACGACCTCTTGTCCATTAGCAACGACACCAGCCGCTAGCAAGCGCGCGAGGAAGCGTGCACTCGAACCGAGGGCCACCACGACGACAACGAAAACTTCGACGACAACGACTAGAACCACGACGACCAAGGCGACGACGACGACGACGACGACTAAGCCTCGAACAACCACTACGACACGCTCAACAACTACTACTAAGCCACCTCCTACTACTACCACTCGGACGACCACGACTACAAAGCCACCAACGGCAACGCCTCTTCCAATTTCGGTTACATTCAGTCGCATCGCCACCAACGACCCATCGTTCCTCACTTCGGCCTGTAGCTCGCTCGTCAAGAGTGGCTACCCGGTGAGTGCATGCACATTGGGCAATTTCTAGCTTGGCTGACACTTTCGTCGATCGCAGACAACGATTCGCTCAACACACTCAACGACTGTCGACTCAACAAGGACTATGCCTGGCGTCACCTCGACCGCGTTCACGACCAAGATGTCGACGACAATTACCGCAAGATCGACCTCTTACACGTCAATCCAGACAACGGTGTACCAACCAACAACGACCATCTCGACCGCCTACGCTGAAGCGACGAAATGCGTTTTCGCATCGAGTAATTACATTGAGCTGCAAAGCTGCAAATCAGGCCAGGTCGCTGCAAAATGTTACCAGAACTCGTTGTCACAGCCTGCTCCAGTGATTCCTTTGAGCAACGGCAAGACTGGAATGTGCGTGGCCAGCACGGACGGTTACACTTTCTGCGGCTTGTGGGAGACTCGAACGTGCACCAACTTGTGTTCGAGCGATACTGATTGTGGCAGTGACATGGTGTGCTCTCCTGGTCTCGAGTGCTGTACTTTGTCTGGGTATGGCAGAGCGTGCATCAAGCCTTGTGACGCTCCCAAACTCTCATGAACTTGAGCACGCTATTCGGATCTTTCTGGGTACTGCTATTTGTAGGGGAATACTGAACTGATTGTAGCTTGGCCACGCTTCTTGCATATGTCAACTTGAAATCCATCGCGATATCGGTATCAACAAATCCGCGGCAGGTAATCATAAGGGCAGAAGTTGTCACCGTTTGCGCTCCAACTTTGATGACGGGAGAAAACCAAACAGGTTGCGGATGGAGCTGATTATCCCGTCTTTTCACTGGTAACAACTTCTGAATTTTACTGAATTTAATTGGGGTCGAAAGGAAAAAGAAACAGAGATCTCTGCAACTTCTAGACAAATACACCGAAAATTGCTCTGCTCTGAGCTATTCAGATGTCATCACTTCACGTCACACACCATTGCATCTCACAGAATGCTGATGAATTGCCGAATGAGAAAACAAAAAATTGCAGCTGGTTTTGTCTGCTTCTTGCTGAAAGTCTTCGTCGTCTGAACTCGAATTGTGCATCCCAGGCCCAGCGCGGTTCTCATTCTCAAGCTGATTCAAGGCTCAATAAGAATGTCTCCCCAACGGGCTTCCTCAGAATTACCTCCGCCGCGGCGCTTTAAATCCCAGAAGTCGAAGCCTTTTGTTTCCACCGGGGTGAGGTAGGACGCAGAGAATCTGTATATTGTGCGTTCAGAAAACCTGCTTGGCTGGGTGAAGCGCCTTCCAAAAATAAAAGACAGCGCAGAACAAAAAGCGACCCCAGCAGGATTCGAACCCGCGACCTCCGGCTACCAAAAGAATTTCGGACGCCGACACCATAACCGCTTGGCTATGGGGCCAAAGGGTTTTCCACCACGCGCAGTTTTGATTGCACTTCATAATTGGCAAAACGAGTCAATCCCGTATGGGAATTCTGGAGGCCTATCACACTTCGTGAGTGTGATTATAAACTCTTTTCAAAAGTTCTCGTCAACCGTTTGAACGAGATAGTACCTGAGGTCATTCCAGCTCCACAGCATGGATT